TATATATATATATATATATATATATATTACCTACTTTAATGAAGATCATTGGGGCCTTTTCTAGGGTCTGCTAATATGTTTTTAGGAAAGTTCCAATCAGTTTCATTCTATTAATTTAATGATCTGATCTAGACAAGTAAAGTGACCAATAGGAATCCATATAGAGCTAATTTATGTGGAAGCAATACATATACCTTGATAATAAGTAGGGATTTATGAAGTAAAATATTTAATTTCTGCAAATTATATAAACTGTGCAAAGAAAGCATGGACTTAATTGGGCGTAGCTTTGAAGAGAGTGCTAGTACTTCATTTGCACTTGTATTTTCCTATGTTTTAGGTATCTACCTCCTTGACCAGTTAGGACTTCTGAGTTGCGCTACTGTTTTGGCTGTCATTAGCAACAAACTTCGTCATTACACTCCTCAAATTGGGATGGATATAAATCATCACCTGTGTCGCAGTGAGAAGATTCCCTATCATCGAAGTGATAATTCAGCTATTATCGGCGACAGTGTAAACATAAACGTCAAATCTGACTGGCCATCTAGCCTACAACATCCCATTGCTCACAAGTGTACGGATTCTGAGCAACATAAGAAGCGTTGCTGTCAGATAATGCCAACCACTTCCACTCATGCAACGTTCAGCCAAACCGGCATAGGCAGACAGTTAATTGATCGAGAAGATAATAAAAGAGAGGAAGATAAAGAACAGGATAAAGAAGACGATGAATATGAGATTTGGTGTCAAATGAAGACCAAAGCACGACCTCCTCTCACTAATGCAATATATTCAAGGCATAAAAAGCATCTTCACACTAGGAACTATAAGTACTCTGAGACAGAAATTACAAGTATGAAACGTGACCTTAAAGATACATCCCTTTATCAATCAGAGCATAACCTCTCTCCAGAGCATAGAGAGTTTGAGGAAGTCGAACATTTTCGAACAAAAAACCTTTGTCATGCATACAGTCAGCCTTACAAACAAATGCACCTTCAGGACTCTAATGAAGAACTGAAGCGAACACAGAATCACAGGCTATTAGATCACTACGGCGACAGATACAATCATGGCAGAATGTCCCTCAAGATATATAAATTAAAGGCTAAAACTTCCGGAATTGAGAATGGCAGCTTAAGAGAAGTATTGCTCCGGTTTTGGAAGTGCCCTGTGGGCGGACGCCTGACTAAAATGTGGTGGAAAATACGGGCCTATTTAAAATGGCTGTTACATGTAGGCAGCATAAAACATAGACAACGTCTCTCGACCAAAATGGATAGGATTTGCATGAGTTGTTATTTAATCTTCTCAGTCATAAATGCAATTGTATGTCTCATAATCATGCCAAGACTTGCATGAAATAATAACCAATATATTGCTATTCTTAACATATTTTTAAATTTTACTTATTGTGAAAACTCAGCATTTTTTAGCCATAATAAAATATCAATGGTTGTTGTGTATCTACCACGTTTTCAAATCACAGCCTTTAGTGTACAAATGGTAAAAAAATCTGGTTTCGAGAAATTAAGAAAATCCTTTAATCTATTGCTCAGGAAATGATTATTTAATTGTATTAAATAGTAACCATTATAATTTCCAGAGTCAGATCGTGGACTTGGCACATATTCAAGAGTTCCGCTGGCATCGTAATCGGCATCGTCAATGAGCCTTGTTATTCTAAGCACCGCACTACAACTCATTAAAGAGATACTATTTATTCTGGGCAAAGTAAGTTCATATAGGTCACCCTGACAATAATCACTCAAAAGTTAAGTCCTAAAATTTTCTCAGTGCTAGAAAATTACTACATAGACTAATTTGTAAGAATATTATATCGAAATGTTGTATATGAATTTACGCTTTCAGTAGTTAAATATCTATGCTTAGTTATTATCTCGTTTAATATATTGCAGTGATCTATTTTCTGTATTTTATATTTAGCCTTAATATAACTCTCATTTCCACTAAATTCGTTTAGCCCAGTCAATTGGAACACCCCTATCATCTCCCGTCCAGCTTGAGCTGGTTCTCTCATTATCACCTCTACTCGTGACTTGAGACTAACGTACCATTGCTTGCGGTCCATTTTTCATAAAAGATTTCTCCTCTCGCTGGTACACCATTCGGATCCACGCATACATATACACATACAAAAACGTACCTGTCTCCGAGAGCATTATTAACTAGTATTTCCCTGTATTCACCAGACTCCGTCCCCTCACAAAAATCCCAGTCAAACTTTTAACAACAACTAGAAACCAATCTTTACATATTACAGGATAGTTAGTAGGAGGAACTTCTAAATAGATAGATCTCTCCAGAGGTCAACACATCCTTGGATAAAATATGCCTACTGGCGCCCTGTACTAAATCTCTCCAGAGCAACATCTTTCTTGAGAAGAGGCTTTCTGCCGACACTCCTTTCATACGCCATTTGCAGCAGTGCCACATTAACACGCTTCATCACCATGGAATGCCAAGACGCTCAGTTATTTGAGAAAGAGGATGCCTAATTTACTGTTCGGTGATCACAACAGCACTAGATAGCCAGATCCAACCATACTTTTGGATCAGAGTAATCGCCCATTTCTTTAAGCCATGCGCTTCTCCGTACAGCGCCTCTTCGTGACTCGTATCCGCACTAACTGCATCAAACCAAAATTAAACGGATGGTCTATCTATCCATAATAAATGGTCTTGTTAATACTTATTTGCATAATTTTTAAGGCAGCGTAATAAAAAACATTTGCACCATATTTAAATGCTTTTATAGCAAGATTCAGGCAACCTTTTTGAAAATATGTTTGTCACTTTGTATCGCTTATAGATATTGATAGCTCAAATAAGTAACATAAAATACACATTTATAATTAAAAGGCATTTTAAAAAGTCGTCTAATATACTGTTTAACCTCTTATCTGAAATCTCTTCAAAAATAAATCATTGTAAGAAGTATATGATTTATTTATTTCTGATACTGAACCAAAGAAAACATCCCTGATAATATTTAAAAATGGAAAATGTCAAGGCTGGTGTAAAGCCACAATGAAATCTAGAATTCTTTGACAAGTGCTAGTATAATATGGTATTTCAAAGTTCACGAACATTTGTATAATTGATACCAAACACAGTGTAAGTGGTGACTAAGACAAAAGTGAGTCATACCGAATAATTAAAACGTATTTACTGTCAGCAAAGTGAACCTAAATTTGTTGGCATACATAGTAGTGATAAGTCATTCAATTTTATAGAAGTGGGTTGAACTCGTTGTCT